AAACTCCCCTTTTGATGGATATAAAGTAAAAGGACGTGTAATACGCACCATTGTATCTGGAAAAACTGTATATTCTCTTCTATCTAGTTGATCAGGATTTCTGTACCTGCCTCTAACCAATTGACAATTATTAAAATTTAAAATAAAATTATTTATATATTAATTGATTAAATATGAGCGGGCATGTCGAGATAACAAAATTATTGCCAATACCGAAAAATAAAGAAGAAGCATATATAATATTGGAAATCCCAAATGGTACAGTGGGAAAAGCAATTACAGACGCATACAAGCGTCGTGCACCCATATACCACCCTGATAAGCATAGAAATTGTGACGATAACTGTCGAAAATTAGCAGAAGAAAGTACAAAAGCAATAAATGTAGCACGTGAAAAATTAGAAGATGAAGTACAAAAAACAGAATATAGTAAACCAAAGCCTGATAAACATAAAGGCCGTTACTCAAGTACTTTATCTAAAACAAAAATATCGCATTTAAGAGATATAGAGCATAGATTATTTGAAGCTTTTCAGGATAAAAACTTAAAAAAAGCAAAAGAACTGATAAAAGAAGTAGATAATCTTGATATAAAGTTAAATCAAACGCATCTTTTATACTATTTTATTCAACATGCTATAAGGGACGTTCATTGGTTTAACTTCTTTAAGGACGTCTTATCAGAACGGGAAATTGAACTAAATATTGCCTTAAACAAATTTGGTTCAACAGCATTACATTTTGCTGCTAGAACAGGGCATCTAAAAATGACTCAACTTCTTCTAGAATATGGTGTTTACGTTAATGTTAAAGACAGTGAAATTGAAACACCTTTACACTCTGCTGCTAGAGCAGGACACTTAGAAATCGTAAGATTACTTATAAATAATAGGGCAGATGTTAATGCTGTAAGAGTGTGGGGTAATACTCCCCTTATTGCTGCTACTATCGGTGGTCATATAGATATCATCAAGGAACTTTATGAGAATGGTGCTAATATTAACGCTGTAAATGACATGGGATGGACAGCACTTCGTTATGTTGCTCAAAATGGAGATGCTAATGAATTAGAAATTGTAAAAGCACTTCTAGAATGTAAAATTGATGTTAATATTTCAGACAACCACGGCCGTATACCGCTATACTTTGCTCTTCTACATCGTCGTTCAAAAATTTCTAAACTTATTGTTGAGCAAACGTGCAATGCAGCATCACAGGAAGTAAAAAATAAAGTACTACTTGCTGCTGCTGAAGCTGGAGAGTTGGAATTTGTAAGACTTCTTTTAAAACATGGTGCTAATGTTAATGCTGCAAGCAGTTATGGTCAAACTCCTATTATTATGGCTGCTATGAGAGGTCATATAGAAACCATTAAAGAGCTTTATGCAAATGGTGCTGATATTAACGCTCAAGATAGTGATGGCTGGACAGCTCTTCGTTATGTTGTTCAGGATGGTTGGAGTAATTCAAGGTGTGACGCTCTAAAAATTATAAAAGTGCTTTTGAGTTGTAGTAAAATTGATATTAACGTTCCTGACAGACGTGGTCAGACACCTCTAGACATTGCTCTACAGTGTGGCCATAAAGAAGCCTCTAAACTTCTTATTAATCATGCATATAGGACACAAGGAAAAAATAAAGTACTCCTTCCTATTGAAGCGAAAGCAAATACAGGTAATAGCCATAGTAATAACACTGTAGGAAAAATTTCTAATCAAAAAACAGCTCCTCAAAAACTACAAGTTAGCACTTATGATAATACAAGCATGCACCATGCCTTTGGTGCTGCTAGCATAAGTCTTTTAGCCATTGGAGTGATATTATGTGCTAAATATACCGAAGAAATCGCGTGGGGGGGGGATTTGTATAGCAGGTGCCATAATTCTCACTTTAATCATTGGCATCATGAAAATCTGTGAAGAAGTTAATAAGGTAAAGCAAGAAGACCCAGACTTAAGCACTTATACTGCAGTGAAAACTGTGATTAAAAATATATTTGCCTGTTGCAATGTATCTCAAGAGGATGACAAAAGTTTGAAGTATTTAACTTAAGTTGACAAAAGATAATTTTAGTGAAATAATTGAATAAATTATTTGTAG